ATTGTACATTTTCCTCTTTATTATATTAGCTATGTTTACTTACTAACAAAGATGAACATAACAGACATCTGGACACTGTTTTAGTGCGCCATTTAATGCGTAAATGAACAGGTGCAGGCTGTTCCAACTGAACACGTGGAAGTACTTCTGTACGTAGTTGCGAGTCCGTTCACCTATTTGTGAGATGTACGTTTCTATTTTGTTTTATTATCACTTATATAAAAGTACGGGCTTCAGTAAACTTTGCAAAATAGCAAGAAGTACAAACACATTGACAAGATACCCTGAATTCAGGTATTTCGAGTATTCATGTCAGCTATTTACACACAATCCGCGTCGCGCACAAAGGAAGCCCAGTACATCATTCAGTTCAAAGGACAATTGATCAATAACCTCACCAAGCTAAGGCGGGGCTGGACGTGAGTTCAGCCTGTTCGCACAAATTGGGCTTCAGCCCAAAGTTCGGCAAAAGTTGCTTCGGTAAACTGAAGCAAGCAGGGCATTACTCTGCAGGTTAGTTACTTTAAGCGACTCGCGATTGTGTCAGTATGCAGTGCATTCCAGACTGTGTTTTGCAATAGAGCTAGCCAGCAGTTTTAGACCGTTGGTTACCATGTTTCTTGGAATATGCTCTGAAATCCTAGTAGACAGCCTCCTCCCAGTCCGGCCAAAGTGCTTGCTACTACAAGTGCAATTTCTCCGACAACCACCCTTAATTCTCACAGCCCAGACTGTGCGTTTAGCTAGGTGTTGTCAAGTCGCCGCTAAACAGCGATTTCTGCAGTAACAACCATGACGCACCGAATTCCCCCCACCGTGCCTTCAGATTAAAACATGGGACCAATCATTGTACTGTGCGTCGATGCACGCTATGTTCAATCAGGAACGAGTGTGTGTATGTCGATTAATCAACGGAGCAGATACACAACTAAAAGTTAGATCTCGGCCACCTCCGCGGAACTTCTCGACTATCGGCGAGCTATACCCGTCAGTGTGGAGCACGCTGAGCTCCGCCGTTCTATTTCCAGACAACTGAAAGCAAGCCTTCGCCGTGACCGTGAATCCTGGAGGTCTAAACAGGCCAAGGAAATGGAAGTTGCTGCCTTTGCTGGTAATAGTCGCAGGTTGTTTTATCTCATCAGATCCACCTGACGCAAATTTCGGGCCATCAGTCAGACCGTCTGCGAGTCAGACGGTACAAAGATCACCAAACTACGCAGACGCCTGGATCGCTGGGCAGAGCACTTTGCTCTACAGTTTAATTGCCCTACAAAACCGAGTACACATCCACTGTCATCATGTAATCCTCGGTCAGTTTGCATAAATCCGCCCACTGATGCAGAAATACGGAGAAATCCAGACTCTGAAACGCCACAAAGCTCCTCTCCTTGACAGTCTTCCTCCAGCTTTATTCAAAGATGGGGGAACTTAGTTGTCACCGAAATTCTATCACTGTTCATAAAAGCATGGAGCGATGAGAAGGTTCCTAACTCACGTGGAGAATCTGTTGTGGTTCCGATCCGCAAGAAGGACTCTCGTAGTGAGTGCACCAACTACGGAGGAATTTCACTTAACTCTGTGGCGTCTAAACTTTTTGTGTCTATTCTGCTGCTTAGGCTCTCAGTTACCCGCGAGAGTTTGTGTCGTGAGGAACAGGCTGGCTTTCGTTCTGGCCGTGGTTGCATTGACCAAATTTTCACTTTGCGTCAAATTCTCGAACATCATGTCCACCGAAGACCAACAATGGTGATGTTTTTGGGTATCCGAGCCGCTTTTGATGCAGTAGATAGGCCGTCACTGTGGAACTGTCTGCTAAGGAACGGCGTTCCCGAGAAGTTTGTCATACTCTGCAAAGTGCTGTTTAGTCAAACCTCCGGCAAAAATAAAGCTTATGGAGGGCTTTCTTCTTCGTTTCCTGTTACCAGTGGAGTGCGCCAAGGTTGTCCGATCTCACCGTTCCTGTTCAACTTTGCCATCGAAGATGTCCTACATAGCGCACTGGAAGGAGCCCAGAACTGTGACGTCGAGCTTTCACCGGGGAGCAGAGTCGTGGACCTGTACTTTGCTGACGATATCGCTTTGGTGGGTGACGACTCCCAGGTTGTTCGAAAGATTCTGAATTGCTTAGACATAGAGGCATTCAACTACGGTCTGTATTTTGCTCCATCTAAGCGTCAAGACTTGCTGCAGGATTGGTAGGCTCCTGTGCCTACGCTCACCATTTCGGGGGTCAACCTGGTGCTCGTTAACAGCTTTACTTACCTCGGGTTACATTACGGCTGGTGGAGATGAAATTTCATAACGAACTATCAAAGCTTGTTTTATATCTACTCCCTTGAGACACTTGTGGCGTCGTCGCGATATCAGTCTCAATGGCAAAGGCCGAGTGTACGATGCCACAGATCATGTTCTCCTACTGTACGGCTGCGAGACCTGGCCCCTTCGATCGGAAGATTTGAGACGACTGTCTACTTTCGACAATCTCTGCTTGCGTTCGATTGCTCACGTATGGTGGCAGCACTATGTGAGCAACGCAGAACTCAGAAGCAGAATCATGGGAGCGGACAGTCTCCAGAGCATAATCATCCAAAACCGCTTGCGTTAGCGCTGTCACTTACTGCGCACGTCGGCCCACCGCCTTCCACGTCGTGCATTATGTGCACTTCTTGGACGCGAATGAAAAAAGAGCCGCGGCGAACAACCGATGACCTGGAAAGAGAGTATGAAGATTCTAACTTCGTGTCTAGCGTCAGTTGTATCCGTACGTCCCCCAGGCTGGGGACCACTTGAAGCGGATTCCCAGTGGTTGGAAGTCTTGGAGGATTTGACTCGCAATAGGAGTCAGTGGCGTCAACGCTGCTCTACCATCTCTTCATCCTGTACTTTTAAACCTTGAACAAAACATGAAAACAAAAACTCAAAACGCCTTATGTGAAACTGAACAACATTTTTCTAACGTTTGACTCTCTCTCTCTCCTCGTTGAACATTATATTCTCCTTTCCCTACCACCATGGTTCGGATGGCACATGTGTCCGTTAACAGACTTGTGAATAAATAATACCATATACATTCTGTAGAAGTTGTCACTTGCACTCCTCTGTACCTTGAACAATTGTCGAATGGCGGCGTGACGATTTCTTGTAATTTACCCTCTTGGGCGCTAACCCAGCGCTAATTGTTGTCAACTTTAGAACGAGAACAATAGAGGTATGATTGTGTATTTAATTAATGCGTTGTAAACACCATCGTGAATCTTGGATCCAACCTTTGTTTTGATCAATTTGGGATCGCTTCCTACTCGTTAACGATAGCGTTTGGTTGTTACACACCACCTATAACGCTCCATAAGAATCCGTGAGGAAGGCTGCTTCGCCTATTTTGGTAGTTAGCGTTCCCCGTTGCCTTGCATCACCTGACGAATCGCGAAATACTCCATCTTTTCATTAGATATCAACCAAAACCAACACGCCTCAACTGTTGCATTATTCCCCGGAGACAATTAACCATAAATCGCAACACTGCTTTTGAGCCGTTTTAGGTGTTTGACATCCACTTCACGAATCGGAGTAAACGCAACTTCCCGGTGATGTTCCAGATTGCCATTTGGGACAAAGTTGTCTGTTTCATCGCTGACTCGTTCGAGATCAATACCGTATTGCATGATAGAGAAGTGTCCAGCAACAACACCGTGTGAGGGCGCACGTTCATAGTTAACTATTTACTATAATATTACCCTATGTGAAATAATGAAGTGATCTTACGTCAACTACGATATACAGACTCGATAACCCCTATGATAGTTTGACCTCGGATTGGTTGGTGGATGTTACCGGAGACCACGCTGTGATATGATAATGGTTTGCAAACTATTTGGCGATCCTAATTACCTATGGCGTCACCCTTTATAACTCAATCCAAGTACTAACATGAGAGGAAACCGCTTAAAATTAAGTAATTATGCAGTCGTCTAGATTATCATTGAAATTATTTCTCTATTCTGACCTACTAACTCAAAAACGCTCGTTCAAATCCGATCGTGTGTCCCTCAACTTAGCCACTTCACTCCGCATAAACGCGGTGCTCAGCAACTTATACCAGTGACAACCTACAAGCAAGTATAATCCACGATGATGCGCGAAACTCAGTGCAAGCATGTCAGCTATCCAACAAATCACTTCTAGAAGAGGTGGCTGACCAACCGGTTGCCTAGTTTTGCATGAAGCTACCCCATTACCATAACTTTGCTTTCAATATGCTGTTGACTTGTTGTCTCTTAGATTAGAGCGCTTTATTTTGCTCGCATCCATAAGCTTTGACTTTACACTTTCATCTCACTGAACTTGTCAGATATCCATTCATTTATATCCGCAAAATTCCGCTGCTTCATTAGTGAGCATTAAGGGGGTTTATTGTGTTTTTGAAACGATTCGTTGCAGCTAGACCCAGCTTCATTGTTAGACCCATTATTGCGCAGCCACACCTTGGCTAATGAGCGCACTCGCCTCGTTGCACAGGCTTGGGATTTCCAAGAGAGCAGCAACGGATCAGCTGCATTCCCCACCGCACCTTGATGAAAACTCATCACCACCCGCATCCTTTTTGACCTGTTCGTGTACAGCCTTGAATCTACACTGCAGTTCACCAATGAAGACGGTCCTTTGGGTAGTTAACATTTGCTTATATGTGTGTCGCGTTACGCGGTTAACTGTCCCAACCTGCAATGCGCGGGCAACATGCCATTACTCCAGGTTTCTCCTAGTCAGGTATGTCTAATTCAACTGGAAACCCACTATCCTTTGGAGCACTTGTTCTCATCATGCTATGGCGATGCTGTACTCTAATTCTGAACTTTCGTTCGCTGTAACACTACTGAAGCATGGAAGGATAGAGTAATTCGCTCAAAGTGAGTTAAAATTACGCATAAATACAAGTATGGCTTTTGTTCGATTATACAAATATAATTGGAAAAGTTGTGTGCTGTTTCGTTGATAGTGCAGGTCTAAAAGGTCAAGTATTTCTGGAAACGTTTGTTATTATTGATGTGTTTATTTGCATGGGAATCCAGTGAGTTTCTCATATCACTGGTTTCTGTGGGCAGCCCAGCGATGGAAAAGGAGTGCCTGACAGACTGTCTTGCCCCGGTGATCATGATGGATCGTCTTTGTTCCGTTCCCTCCTCTGACATAGCCTTCTGCAGTGGAACTGTACGACTCATCACGGCAGCTCGACCTTCACTGGGAGGCCAACTTGGCCAACTGTCCGTCGAACTCGAGGAACTGCTTGGTATGTCCTCCTCGGGCGCTTGAGTCAACAGCACATCGGTATCTATGGAGGTCAAATCTAATAGAGGTTGGGTCAATTCCTCAGTGTAACGGAATTCAGCCGGCATTGGTTTATCTGAATGGGGTTGACGTTGTGTAATACGGTGCTATATGTTTTGAACTTTGTCGAACGCTTGTAACAGGCTGTAGAGATAGTCAAAGTTGTCGCGTCTCATGGAGACCACAGTGAAATCCACAGTGGATGGAAGCTGAAAATAAGACAGCCGAGGTTAACAAGCGGGACGAGGTCATCGCAAGGAGTGGATAATTCACTTTCAGTTAGCCAGCGTGTGTTTTAAACTTGGCATGGTAGCGGCATGGTTACCCCCCGTAACAGCGAGACAGTGTGAGAGTGCGTTTCCATGGTTCATCAGCAGCGATTTGCTACCCGCGTGCCTAAGCCGAAGTGGGTATGTTACCTTAGGGGACCAACGCCCCGAGCCTTAGGCCAAAGGACCCAACCCACAATGCAGTATGGAGAGATAATGGAATCGCAGCGGCTGGGAGCGGGTGACTGGTTGCTTCGTTTATACGATATTCGGGTGAAGATATCCCTAACCAGGGGTTCAACATCCCCGAAATCGGAGGTAAAAGCCGATTCTCGTATGGCTTGCCGGTGTACAATGCCTCCAAGGAAAACAAAAAGAGCAGTGAATTTGTTTATTGGCGAGTCACATTCACTATGTCACAGTGTTATTAAGCAATCACATGTTGGTTCTTATGGGAAGAAACGCTTGCAGACAAAAATTCCCCTACGTCCTGGAACATTGCCACCGACCCGTTTGCTGAAGCAATAAATTCCCCGACCACCTAGCTAGCATTACAAGGAGGTTGTTCCGCAATTCAGTCACACACTACCCACAAAATCCATCAATACTAGTATTCTGGGCAGAAACAAATGCCGCCTGTTTCGCGCAACAGTAAGAAGTTCCCTCTGTTCTCAAAAGCTGTGTGGCCTATTCCAAAGCAGGTGGTCTATAGTTGTTATTTGTCAGTTCATACAGCAAAATTTTCACGTAGCAACTAAAAATTAATTAGACCCAAGGAGATGGATGATAACACGTGGCTTTCTCTCCTACTGGTAATATCTTTCCATGTGACTTGTGGCGTTCCATGTGGAATACATGGTAAATGATCGGACTGCCGTTGGTAGCATAAGTTGATGTATGCCCATAGTTCCAGTGTACGTATTTCTGACGGATCGAAATTAATCTGTAGCATAACTAATCATTTTATGCATTCTTCTGGCTCCTAGGATTGTTGGATGAATCCATTTGTTTCATCCGACTGAAATGGGTCTTGCAGAATCAAGTATGTCATAATCAAGTCGCCTCATAGCCTGCGATAGCTTCCGCTGAATATCCCCAATCGCTTCAGCCTCTCCTGGTATGAAAAATTGCGCATTCCAAGTATGTTTCTAGATGCCCGACGTTGAGGCTGCTCCAATGCGTTAAGATCCTCATTTAGCCATGGATGCTAGGCCTGAATTGTGTATTCAACATGGGGGGCGAACATACGCACTGAGCATTTGTCGAAAAATAGACTTGTCTATTTGTCTGAACGCCCAGCGCAACAGCCCGACGTGTTGGTTTCCAGTTTTCGAGGCATTTTCGGATTGCGTGGAGCAACCCAAGTCATCTTGAACCAGCACAACCAAGTCACCTTCGACTGTTGATTGTTGTAGTATATTCGTTTCGAGCCGGTATGAGTAGTTGCTCTGATGTCGGATGGAAAGTATCTTGTATGTACTCACGTTGAAATGTAGTAAAGTTTAGGTTGATCATTGATATACCATATCTAGCTCACTCTGAATCAGATGCTGATCGGCGTTCGCCTGGATCCTGCAGCAAATCGTGATATCGTCGGTAAACATTAGGAAGTTTGAAGCGATTCCCTGTGCAAGGTCACTAATAAACACCAAAAACAAACGTGGACCTAGAACTGAGCGTTGCGGCACACCACACTCGACTTGTATGGGGTTCGATAAAGAGCTCCGAACTCTGACCATTAATTGCTGTTGAAGTAGAAAATTGGTGATTCACCTTAGAAGAGGGTTGCTGATCCCGTAATGCTGCGGCTTGGATAGTAGTATCCGATGGTCTAGACGATTGAAAGCCTTGGAAAAATCCAGGTAGATCAATTCAACACCTTCTCCAGAGTCAGATGACTCCGTCCAACTACTGCGTGCAATTAGTAAATTAGTTGTACATGGCCGCTGTCGACGGAAACCGTGCTGCTCAAGAGTGATCATGTTGCAGTTTTCCAGATAACACACCAGTGTATCGGCAACGATAAATTTTGTAACCTTGGAGATTATAGGAAGAAGGGATACTAGGCGGTAGTTGGAGAGCTCACTTCTGCTTCCAGCTTTGTGTATCAGGGTTATTATTCCAAGGTTCTTCATGGTGGGAACTCGATTCCACTCTAAGCAACGCTTGAAAAACACCAAAAGGTCCTGCCAGTTGGCTTGTTGCTGCTCCCAGTTCCACTGGACGAATACTAGAGAGATCCGGCGAGCCGTGTTTACGTAGAGACGTCAGCCTCCGTGGTAAAAGTGACGTGGGTTAGTCCTGGCGCAGAAACGACAAACGTTGGAAGATCGCTTGGTGGCAAGCCCATCTAAAACTTGGGGGCATATTGCGTTCGCAGCGCGTTTGCCATTTCCACAGCCGTTGTTGTTAAGTTATCGGCGGTTCTGAGTGTAGGAAATCCTTGCGTCAACTTTCATAAGCCACCGGCATGCCTTTACTACAGTTTGTGGTTAGCACTGAAAGTTTTTGCGATGTTCTGCTGATATGCTACTTTGTCTTCTCGGAGCAGTTGGGTGCAGTTATTTCGTTGGACTACATAGTAGTCCCAATTTTCTGGTGTTGGAGCTTCTTTGTATACTCGTCATGCTGCGTTCCGTACTGTCATAATGTTTCGAGTTCTGTTCCTAAGGCAAGAAACTAAAGTAGATTTATTGCAAACCCTTAACTCTGAAGCATCTGCAAACAGCTGACTGAATTTGTTGACGAACTGGAGCCAGGCGACTACCGGGGGTTATTCGGCAAGGAAGGACCAGGTTGTAGCGCTGACGAGCTGGGTTAATCAATCGTAGTTAGTGGTGGTTCGCACGTTCTCATTGTTCTCATTCCGATAGTTTGCATAGCAGACGAAGTTGCAATTGATCCTTGCGAACCAACGGGCAGTCTAAAACCAACACATTAATCATATGCTCCTCATTGGTGAGCACAAGATCCAGCACAGATGGCCTGTTACCTGTTCTGAACCGAGTGGGCAAAGTGGTGTGATTGTAAAGTGGAACAGTACTTACGAGACCTTCTAGATCGGCTTTGAATTGTACTCCGATCGTGGCAGGACTTTCTAAGCAATGTACTTTGAAATCACCCATGATAAGTAGGTGAGTAGAGTTTCGCTGTAAACTGCGTCTTAAAGCAGCTGTAAGGTGGCAGTCGGTTTCGGGTGTAGAGTTAGGGGGCGGTAGACCGAGAAAATAAGGCAAGCGTCTCTGCTTATTGACTGCAAGCGGAACCAAAGAGAGTCGGAGAACTGCGATTCTGAATCCTCCACAGCTTCACACTGTAAGTCGCTTCGGTAATACAGAATTACCCCTTCTCCTTTGATGCTTCTATCGTTCAGGATCAATGACATGTCCAGTAGCGAAACTTCAGCGTCCGTCATGTTCGTGTGCAACAACGTCTCAGTGATACCGAAGACATCATTTGACTCAGAAGCTTAACAATCTTTTAGTTCAGGCAGTTTATAAAAGGACCTTGATTATCCGTATACAGGCGCGCCAGTTTCTCGGTCTCTAGAAGCCCACAGAGGGGTGAAGGGGTCAAGTGTTGGAGAATGCCGACAGATTGGAGGTTGGCAATTACTCGCTTTTTTGACGGGACAGCGATACCTTGTCTGCAACTCCATTCGACCAAGGTGCGTCCCAATCCTCGTTTAGACCTACTTCAGAGTCGAGTAAAGCAGCAGTCAACTGGAGCTCCTGTATCATCCTGCGTACGTTTGCTGCTTCAGGTGCTTTGATATCTGAACTACGTAAAGCTGATGCGATTTTTAACTGAAGTTCAGAAGGATGACTACCGATTTCTCCGACATCGATCCAAAATATCCTATGCTGTTTACTCCGACTGAACCACAAGTTTCAGGATTTTAGAGCCGCATCCTCTATAAATTGGTGAGAGAGGTATCCTGGTTGAGCGATAGCGCCACAATATTATCCAAAGAAATTGTTTCACTAATAAACTGCCACTGTTATAAATCGTGCTTTCCAGTCTCTTGGACATCTTTAGAAGGATGTTCTGACATGCCGTGTATGAAGATCATGTTTAGACGGTCTTACTTGCTATGTCCCACTTTGTTGTTCCTTTAGATTGTCGCCCGCTACAAGTGACATCAAGATAGATGCGTATCCCACCGGATCCTTGTCCAAGAGCGCTTGCGGAAAGCAAGACGTTTTCCACACCGGTGGTGAATTCTAGTGTTACTAGAACAAGTCTGGGTTCTTCATAACGTGCAGAGTTCGGATGACGAGTAATTCGTAATAGATTTATGGGCTTGGCTTTGACACTCATCAACACGCACAATGGGTTCCATTGGTCTTGGTCGTCCGCTAACTTATCCCGCAATGTGATGAGGATAGATTCGGGACATTCGAGCACACAACAGTCAGGGCACTACTGTTGAATTTCTTTTTCATTGAGCTACAAGGTATGGTACTCGTTTGTCCTGAACTACTGACAAGTGTTGATTGTTTACTGTTTGTCCCTCTATTCGCGTTAACGGTGTTTACAACAGAAGAGGCCGCAACGAGGGCCTCCCGGCCGACCTTTGCAGCAATCTCTGCATATGGAACTGATGTTCTGGGGGTCTTTCTCGGCAACAGACATTTGAACTATAGGTCCCGAGGGTTGGTTTTCGGCTGCTTCATCCTTGTTAATGCTAGATGTCAGGTCTAGTGGAAGTTGCTTAACCAGACTGCGAGTGGTGCCTGATTTTCGTTGCCGTGAGTACTGGTTGACTCTTGTAGGTACGGTCAGTTTCCGTTCGGCGT